TAGGATAAAGAAATATATGTGAATTTGAAATTATCATTATAGTTACAATGAATAATCACTGATCTCATAAAAAGACTGGATCGAGCAACTGGAGTCGTAATGTGAAGCCGGCATGGGCACCTTGGCGGCAAAAAGGCAAAAGCTGGAGAGTCAAACTATATTTATGTTTTTTAGGGAAGTCTTAAACAAAACACGAAAACCTTTAACAAGTTTATATTTTTCCCAGGTAAGCATTTACTTCATGTTAAACTGATGGTAATTAGCTAAAATTGGAAGAATCAATAATATTCGTGAATACAAGCTACACGTACCTTTATCAGGTGTGATGGAAATGCAAAGATGGTTGGTACTGCATCTTGTTTCAAACGAATTGTTTGCCCAGTTTTGTCAAAACACGAGTCTTCAAAGTGTTGTGAGCATACTGTGGCGTGACATGAGGGATTATAATTCTCTCTACGAAGATTTTGAATCCATTCCTGGCGTCTTTGTAGATCTTTCGGAAACCTGTGAGACTGAAAGCTAATTATTTGTGATAGCTGAAAGTCAACTGCGAAGTGCATATCCTTTCGTCAAGAGAGGAAGTCCATCGTCAAGGCGCGAAGCCTAGTCAAATATTAATATCTGTCGGCGTTCAGTGTTCAGACTGCTAAATCTTCATTAAATCAATATCTAGCTTTCATTATCAAATTTTAGGTAACTGAGTTACAGAAACTCAGTTCTTTGAATGAAATCCTGTCATACTCGATCGTTTCGAGGTGACCAAGTCAAATCTTGGGCTTGTAAAATTAAGTATAAAACCAGGTAGGCACAAAGCGAGCACCTGTGAAATGTTATCGTCTTTGAAGTACTTTCACTCTTTTTTGATCCTGTACGGTTAGTGCAAGCAAACGCGCTGCAACTTGGCATCTTCGATGTGACGGAAGCCAGTACACTACATTGTTTACATAACGGCTTTTGGACCTCCTAAGATGGCGGAAATCAAATTTGGCTTCAGAGTTTCAGGAGATGGAACAATGGGTTGCTCGATCCAGTCCTTTTTTGAGATCAATGTGAATAATAGATAAAAGTAGATAATGATTGATTGATATAAATGATAATCATCACAGTTACTTCGTTACAGCATGATAATTTGTAGCAATATGATAATTTATACAATAATTCAACTTTCGTGTTTTGTTTAACAGAACGTTAGAGCCTGTGGACATGTATATATATGCAGGTATGTATGTATGTTTACATGTGTGTGTGTGTTTGTTTGTGTGTGTGTGTCTTTTGTGCGTGTATGTCTGTTTGTTTGTTTGTGTGTTTGTCTCGGCGTACGAACGGCTATGTGTATTAGTTCGTATACACTCACAACAAAGTATCGAGATAAATATTAGTAGAATTAAGAAAAAAGGCTAAAATCCTTAGGTAGTACATTTTCAGATATTTATTATTTCAATTAAATACTCAAAAAACAAGGGAAGATCTGACTATGCAAACTAATTAATACCATAACTTTGATTAGCTGATATAACAGTGCCTCGAGGTCTGTCTAAAGTGGCATAAAAATGGTTGTTTTATGTAATGACACAGTTTAGTGGTTGTCGTTTATTGGGAAATTAATTCGTATGGGAAAGATGATAATAGATAAAAGAATAGACTGAGGAAGAGAATAAATAGTGGAAGATTGTACTGGTAAGTTATGTAGCTCTGAGGCTTGTCTATCCCTCTCTGAGGGTAGGATGATTTTCCCTCAAGTTTTCCAGTCCTGCACGGGTGAATATTCACTTTACAATAAGTAAAGAATGCAATAAAACAGAAAGAAATTATTTCAACGCATAAATTTTATTCATCAACCAAGTCGTCGTTCCTACAAATTTGATATGTACAGTGCAGGCAGCATGGTGACGGCCAGAGACAGGCTGTGCCCAAATGGCGTCCGGCTGGCTCTGCTGCGCTGCATCCCGTCCTCAGGTGGAGCGAGGACGCCGCTCCCGCTCCTCAGTGGTATCCTCCGGCGTGGCCGAAGCCCACCGCAGCGCCGTAGCCTCCGAAGCCTCCAGCGTTGGCGCCCTTCGCCTTGGCCAGGGCCTTGGCGGCGGCGTTCTGGGCCTGCGAGGCGGCGCCGGCGGCGGAGTACACGTCACTGGCAACCACGTTCTGCTGCGCCTGCAGTCCGTTGGCGGCCTGCTGCACCTGCCACACCATGGCGCTCTGGGTCTGCAGGACGTTCTGTTGCGCCCCCAGGCTGTGAGCGGCCTGGCCGGCCAGCCCGTTGGTCTCGGCCGACACAAGGCCCAGGTTGCCGAGGAGGCCCTTGGCCATGGAGGCGGCCACCTTGGCGGCCTGCTCGGCTACGTTGGCCTCACCGGCGAGGGCGGCCTCCTGGTAAGCCGCGGCCGAGGCCCCGATGACGCCCTGGGTGATCTGCGCTGCCTGAGCCTGCTTGTTGGCGGCGGCGGCCTGTGCAGTGTGCGAGGCCGCGGAGGAGGCAGCAGCAGCAGCGGCTGCGGCTCCTGCGGCGGCGGCGTGGGCTGCTCCTCCTTGGCTTGCGGCGGCAGCGGTGGCCTGAGCGGCAGCCTGGTTCGCGATGTCGGCGCCACTGGGGCCGTGGCCGCCCCCGGAGGCTCCGCCCACCACCAGGAAGCTGCCGCCATTGCCATGGGCGCCGCCGCCGTAGCCGGACCCGCCGCCGTGGCCCCCGACGAAGCCGCGCTTCTCCTGCGTCAGAGGAAAGGGTTAGTCGGTTGGCGGGATGGAAGGGGTCAATAGGCACTGGGTATTTTTAACTATGAACCAAGAAAGACAAGGAAAATCTAATTGTGTATTTGTCTCACCCTGTTGGTCTCCTCAGCTACGGCAGCACCTGGAAAGGAGATATGAATGTAAACTTTTGATATTGGTGTTGTTAATCTAGAAAATCTATACGCCTAAGATTAATAGGCATATATATATATCAAATAACAAATTAAGCTTGTATTTGCTCAATGAATACGATTCATGGCAAAGATACCGAGGAAGCAATCTTACCAAGGCAGAAAGCCACGATCAGGAACTTCTTAGACATCATGGTGGTTGTTGTGGTTGCTGGTGGAGCAGGAATGATGCTGTTGCAAGTTGAAACTCGCCTATTTATACTCCAGGTGACATCGAGGTACTAGGGGTTGCCAATGCGTACTTTTCTCATCTTGTATTGTTGGGTCTTGAAAGGCTTTCTTGTGCTTTTACGCGCGAGGCCGGAAGGGACGGTCGGCTGGCGGCAGAGGAAAGTTAGACTGAATCCTAAAAGTCCTCACTTTATCACCTTCCCAAGGAAGTGTCTATATATAATTATATATATACATATATGTATATATATATATATATATATATATATATATATATATATATATATATATATATATATATATATATTTATATTTTTATATACATGTACATAAACATATATATATATATATATATATATATATATATATATATATATATATATATATATACATATAAATATATATACATATATGTATATATATGTGTGTGTGTGTGTGTGTGTGTGTGTGTGTGTGTGTGTGTATGTGTGTGTGTGTACATATACATACACATATGTATATATGTATATATATATACATATGAATACATATAAATTTATATATACGTGTATGTATATATATATTATATACCTACATACATATATACATATGCATGTATATCTATATACATATTTATTTACTCATTTATTTATTCATCTATTTATGGACACACACATGCAAACGCATATGCATAAATAAATATATATATATACATATATATATATATATATATATATATATATATATATATATATATATATATATATATATATATATATATATATATGCGTGTGTGTGTGTGTGTATCTATATCTGTATTTATACCTGTACCTATCTATCTATCTAAACACACACACACACACATATATGCGCGCGAGTGCGTGTGTGTGTGTTTAGATAGATAGATAGATACAAGTATAATTATAGATATAGATACACACACACACACACACACACGCATATATATATATATATATATATATATATATATATATATATTATATTATATATATATGTATGTATATATATATGTGTGTGTGCTTGTGTGTGTGTATCTATATATGTATACATATATATATATACACATACACATATATATGATATATATGTATCTATATATATGATAATGATGATGATAGTAATAATAATAATATAATAATAATAATAAAACAATAACAATAATAATAATAATAATAATAATAATAATAGTAATAATAATAACAATCAATAACAATAAAATCAATAATAATAACAATGATAATAACAATAATAATTATGATAATAATAATAAGGGTAATGATAATGATAACAATAATAACGATGATAATAATAATAATAATATTAATAATAATGATAATGATAATAACATTGATGATGATAATGATAATGATAATAATAATGTTAATAATAACAATAATAACAATAAAAGTAATAATAATAACAATGATAAAAACAATAACAATGATGATTATAGTAATAATATTAATAACAATAATAATAATGATAATAATAATAATAATAATGATAATAGTAATTATAATAATAATAGTAATAATAATAACAATTATAATAATAATAATAATAATAACAATAATGGCGATAATAATAATAATAATAATAATAATAAATAAATAATGATAAGAACGATAATGGTGGTAGTAGCAATATTAATGATGATAGTTATAATGATGGTGATGATAATACTAGTAATGAAATGATAATAACACTAATAAGTGATAATAAATAGTAATACCAGTGACGATAATGATAATAATGATAATAATAGTTGCAATGATAATGATAATAGTGATAATAATGATAATGATGATAAAAATTACAATAGTAATAATAATAATAATGATATCAGTAATAATAATGATAACAGAGATAAAGATAATAGTAATAATGATAATAATGATTATAGTAATAATGATAATTATGATTATAGTAATAATAATAATAATAATGATAATAATAATTGTAACAGTAATAGTAATAATAACAATAGTAATAATAACAATAGTAATAATAATAATAATAATAATAATAATAATAATAATAATAATAATCGTGATAACAATAATAAAAATCGTGATAATAATGTAGGAAAGATGCCCCTATTTAAATCAATATCAGCTTTCTACCCCATCTCCCATAACGTTTACAAGTGCTCAGGCTGTCTCTCTTGATTTACCGATATTCGCACTCTTCTTGCTCTAACTGTTACTGCTACTATTGATAGCCACATACTAATATAATTGATAGTCATTTTCTATCTTTTCCTTTAACATTCTGGGACATTTCACTACTTGATACAAATACAAATAGACATGTGTGTTTGACGTCAGTAATCTCTTCTGATTCCAGGGGGGTTGGGGGGAGGGAGGGATTAACACCGTTGAAATAAGCACAGGTATACAGGCATGCGTGTTTTCCGTCGAGGTGAAATGTTTACATGGAAAGAAAAAAAACGCAATTCGTGCTTGCTCTGGTTCACAAGCTCAAAAAAATATGGTCTAGACATATGACTTCTACTTATATCTATAAGGATATCTGTATCTCTGTTTATCTATCTATCTCTCTGACTCTCTCCCTCTCAATCTGTCTATCTGTCTACCAATAGGTAGATATATAGATAGTGAGAGAAAAAAATAAAGCTAACGAGCAAACGAAAGAGAGAAAAGAGACTTTGACTTTGACGTTTATTGAAGAGAGAAAGAGAGAGAGAGAGAGAAAGAGAGATAGATAGATAGATAGAGACTGATCTGATTTGAAGTTTAATACCAGAACAGTTTCCACGGCCTGTAAACAATCAGAGAGAGATACCCAAGCATAACTTCAAGCATATAGCTGAACTTCTGTCGACTACGGACCATAGTCAAACATTCATTATATATGACTGAAGTGCTCATCTTATCTGTCAACTTACTTAGTAAATGAAAATAAGTAATATAAAAATGAGCTGTACTTCTTTATATATTTTCAGAGTGTGGACCATTAACTGTTAATGTAGTTATACTACAGGCTGCAGTGAGGCAAACTGTTGTTTGGCAAAGAGAGAATGAGAGAGAGAGAGAGATAGATAGATAGATAGATAGATAGAGAGAGAGAGAGAGAGAGAGAGAGGTTTAGTTTAAAGATTTAAAGGTTTAGTTTGATTTGTTACAATGGATATTATTGGTGTGACTTCTGTTTCATTTTGCTTCTGAGTTTTCCCTTGTGTGCAAGGAATGGCCATCCACTGGCGGCGAGAAACTTGAACGCAGGTCAACAAGATTGCTAGACGAGATCGCTACCGCTGCACCACACAGCACAGAGACACAGACAGACAGAGAGAAAGTGAGTGAGAGAGAGAGAGAGAGGAGAGAGAGAGAGAGAGAGAGAGAGAGAGAGAGAGAGAGAGAGAGAGAGAGAGAGAGAGAGAGAGAGAGAGAGAGATTGAGAGAGAGAAAGAGAGAGAGATTGAGAGAGAGAGAGAGAGAGAGAGAGAGAGAGAGAGAGAGAGAGAGAGAGAGAGTGATAGTAAGAGAGATAGAGACAGAAATTGCCAAAAATATTTACATTTTCCACAATCCATAGTTACATCGAGAACGAACCATTTACTGGTTTCATAACCCACCATTCCAATTGCCACTTCCGTCTTTAACAAATAGTAGAAGAAAAAAAAAGAAAATATAATTTAACCTTTACATCCCTTTGAACTTCCCCCCTCCCCCTAAACTCACACCGTAAATCAAAGAAAACGAAAGTTCCCGTATTCACATTTTACCCCGAAATAGTTGTCACGGGGTAAAATAAAAGAAAAAAAGAAAAAATCTGCGGCCAGGGAAATGCTGAGTCACGCCTGTGTCAAGAGCCCCACTGTCCGAGATCACCAAACTCTTCATTGACTCGTTCAGAGACACTTTCCAAAGGCTGTGCTCGACCGAAGAGGGAAGAAAGAAGGAAAAAGGAGAGAGAGAGAGAGAGAGAACAAAGAAGGAGAGAAAACATGGTCGTGGCAACAAAGACAGCTATGGCGGGGATCTCGATACGAATGAATGAAAGTAAAATAAAAAGAAAAAGAAAAAGAGAGAGAAAGAAAGAATGAAAGAAAAATTAGGTCGGTGTTTGTTTATCCCTGTCGTCTTTGGGACCTTTTTTCCTTCCTTGTGTAGATCCAGCACAGTTTCGAGTGACTTGGATGAAGATTTGCTTATCTATCTATTTACAAATCTATTCATTGCCCGAAATGGAAATCATAAAAGAGAGAGAGAGAGAGAGAGAGAGAGAGAGAGAGAGAGAGAGAGAGAGAGAGAGAGAGAGAGAGAGAGAGAGAGAGAAAGCGAGTCAAATGAAAGGCTGCAAATGATAATCAAATGTAACTTCTTTTGACAGATAAACTCAGTTCGTAAAGAATCGCGTGCGATAATGAAATTTCTCGAATATAGTTTAAATGTTGATATCATAGACTTCTGTAAACACAATCATAACGTCTCTCAAGATTAAAAGATGTCACTGATAAGGAAAATGAAATAAAGTATTTTAATAGTTATCATTTGGGGGTTAAAGATTTTAAGATGTCTATTGAATGAAAACAGAAACTTTATCAAACGGCCAAAAAAAAAAAGATTAACGTGACCTAAAAGAAACACGATAACTCAAAACAAAACAGAACAAGTTGTCTTCCGAAAACAAACAAACAAACAAACAAATCTAGTCAAATAATAAGAAATAAAAATTTTGCCCCCCCCCCCGAAAAAAAAGAAACGTTACTACAGCAACCCAAAAGACGGTGATAGTCTTACACTGAAAAAAAAAAACATTGAAAGATAAAAGACAATCACACACACAAACATACACACACACACAGAGGGAGAGAGAGAGAGAGAGAGAGAGAGAGAGAGAGAGAGAGAGAGAAAGAGAGAGAGAGAGAAAGAGAGAGAGAGAGAGAGCGAGAGAGAGAGAGAGAGAGAACGACGACCACGAACGCAAAACAATATCCGACGATCGCTCTCTAATTGCGTCAACTACAACTACAATCCGTCGAAAAAAAATCTGTGTCAGTGTAAAAGAAACGTAAAAAAATATATGTTAACGTCCACAATAAAAAGAAAAAAAGAAACGTTACCACAGCAACAGCAACCCAAAAGACGGTGATAATCACGGAAAAAAAACACATTGAAAGATAAAAGACAATCACACACACACACACACACACACACACACACACACACACACACAGAGTGACAAAAAAAGAGAGAGAGAGATAGAGAGAACGACGACCACGAACGCAAAACAATATCCGACGATCACTCTCTACTTGCGTCAACTCGTGAGGACTTTGATGGTTACAATGCGTCGAAAAAAACGTCTGTGTCAGCGTAAAAGAAACGTAAAAAAAAGAATGTGTCAACGCCCTCAATAGACAGAAATTGGGCATCTTTTGTCACAATTGATTTTAAGGAAATGAGACGAGCTGAGGAAGCGATTGAGGACTTGATAATCTGGAGTGATACATAGGGGAAGGGAGGGGAAAGGGAAGGGAAAAGTAAGGGGGAAGGGAAAGGAAAGGGATGGGAGGAAGGGAGGGGAAAGGGAAGGGGCAGAGATGAAGGGAAGGGAGGGTTGAGGGAGGGTGGGAACGGAAGGGGAGGAAGGGAGGCGAAAAGGAAGGGGAAGAGATGAAGGGAAGGGAGGGGGAGAGGGAGGGTTAAGGGAGGGTGGGAAAGGAGGGGGAGAGGGAGAGGAAAAGAAGGGCAAAAAAGGAGGGAGAAGGGAGGAAAGGGAGGGTTAAGGAAGAGCGGGAAACGAGGGGGAAAGGGAGGGAGACGGGAGGGGAAAAGTAGGGGAAAAGGAAGAGAAAAGAAGGGCGGAAAGGGAGGGCGGGAAGAGGAAACAGATGGGAAGGGAGAGGAAACAGAGGGCGGGAAAGGAGAAGGAAGGGAGGGAAGAGGGAAGGCGGGGAGAGAGGGGGAAAGGAGGGGAAAGGGAGGAGGGAAGAGAGGGCGGAAAGGGGGCTATTGATTATTATTACTGCTAACTGACATGATTACGTGATTTTGAAAAAAAAGTATATTATCTTTTAATTATGAATTAATTAATTTATCTATTTAGCCTCCTTTATCTTCTTTTATTTGAATTCTTATTACTTCAGTCAATGATTCTAGATATCAGTCTTCAGACGCAAACGTAAAATTACATAACTTTCTACCTGGAGACTTCAACGCTGCGCCAAAGAGTGATCTAATGTCTAATATCTAATTCTAATTTGGTAATTAAATACTAACACTTTCTCAAAGTATGCTCCTTAAATGTCAGTCCTCGCCATTATTATTTCGTCTCCCTGATTTGTTTTTTCTTAATGCCAAAATCAGCCATAAATCTATCTTCAGGAATTTCGTACTTTTCTCCCTTCCCCCTCCTTTTTTGTTCTCTTTTTCCCCTCCCTTAGCCCTTCCTTTCCCCTCTCTCTCCCCCTCGTTCATTTAATTCCCCTTTAGCGCCAAGCCCAAACTGCCACTCATTTGCCTCTTCCATCCTCCTTCCTTCCTTTTTCTCCGCTAGTCACACGGATTCCCGGAGAGAATGTGACGTCATACAAAGAGAGAGAGTATATAGAGGAAGCGTCGGTACTTTGATTCAGTCGTGTTCGACGTGTGGAAGTGGCAAGATGCACAGCCAATTCTCTCTTCTTGTGTTCGGCCTCGCCTTTGGTAGGAGGGCCAAAATAAGACCAATCATATCTACAACGAATAATAGAAATATAAATACATAAATATATATATATGTATATGTATGTGTGTATGTATATGCATGATATATATCTGTATATATATATATATATATATATATATATATATATATATATATATATATGTATATATATATATATATATATATATATATGTATATATATATATGTATATATATATATATATATATATATATATATATATATATATATATATATAGGTATATGTATGTGTGTATGTATATGCATAATATATATATGTATATACATACATATATGCATACATATATATATATATATATATATATATATATATATATATATATATATGTATATATATATATATATATATATATATATATATATATATATATATATGTATATATATATAGGTATATGTATGTGTGTATGTATATGCATAATATATATATGTATATACATACATACATATATATATATATATATATATATATATATATATATATATATATATATATATATATATATGTATATGTATGTGTGTGTGTACATATATGCATAATATATATATATATATACATATACACATACACACATGCATATACACACACACACATATGTACACACACATGCACATACACATACACACACATATTTATATACATATATACATATATGTGTGTGTTTGTGTTTAATAATGTATATATTGTTTCTTTTTTTGTCAATATAAATGTTATCAATAAGTTTCGTACATCATTTACATTTGAAAGACGGATACCTTTTTATTTAGCTGGTTTATGAAAATCAAATTCAGTCCCTTTTTCTTTTCTTTTTTACATATGATATAAACAGACAAATAACACTGAAACCTTGCATTGCAGGCGCCGCCCTCAGTACGCGCCCCGATGCCGTCAGAGTAAGATCTCGCCCTCTGTTTTTTCCTTTATTTCCAGTGGTGAATATGCAGATGAAATAATTGATGACAGATGTCACTGTTATTAACCGATGACAGAGCGATGGAAATGGGTATTCATATGACATGTTCTACAGGAGAAGCGCGGCTTCACTGGCGGCGCTGGTTATGGCGGCGGGTACGGCGGCGGCCACGGTGGTAGCGGCGGCGGCTTCCTGGTCGTCAGCGGCGGAGGCGGCGGTGGCCACGGGCCCAGCGCCGCCGACATCGCTAACCAGGCTGCCGCGCAGGCCTCTGCCGCCGCCGCTGGCCTCAAGGGCGCTGCCGCAGGCGCTGCCGGCGCCGCAGCCAACCAAGCCGCCGCCATCGCCGCCGCCGCCTCGCAGACAGCCCAGGCCGCCGCCGCCCAGAAGCAGTCGCAGGCCGCCCAGCTGACGCAGGCCAGGCAGGGCGCCCACGCCGCCGCCTTCGCCGAGTCCTCCCTGTCGGGACAGGCCGCCGCCGCCGAGGAAGCGGCCGAGAACACGCACAAGCTCGCCCTGTCCGTGGCCAACGACCTGGCCGCCGCCAGGCACGAGGCGCAGGCCGTGGTATCGCAGGCCTTCCAGGCACTTCAGGCTGCGCGGGACGTGCGAGCCACGCAGGCCGCCATGGCGTGGCAGGCGCAGCAAGCCGCCCATGCTCTTGGCCTGCAGCAGGGCGTTGTCGTGAACGACCTACAATCCGCCCTGGGCGCCGCGGCACAGGCGCAGGCGGCGTCCGCCAAGGCGCTGGCCAAGGCCAAGGGCAGCGGAGGCGGGTATAGCGGCGGATTCGGAGGCGGGTTCGGGTACGGCCACTGAAAGAATTTAGAATAAAAGCAGTAATAACTGACAAAGTTTAGGATATCTGTACTGGTCATTCGAGGGAATCGGTTATTGCCGCTCCAACCGGCGGCTGCCGGGCGACAGACATCACCCAAAGTGCTTCATTAATAAAATAAGCCTGAAGTCTCCTCTCTCAGTCACCCTTCGAAATAAGAGCAGTAGTAAAAACATTTCCGAAAGAAAAATAAAACAATAAACAAATTATATAATATATATGTATGTGTGTTTGTGTTCACATTAGCAGAAAATTACTAAGAATGCGGATCTAATTTATGTAAAAACATTTTAAATGCTTAAAATGTTGCAGTCAGACAAATCCCTTTTCCCGCCTCCATAGATGGATGGCCATGCTCCTCAGCAGATGCAGGTGAATGACATGAAGAAGCCCTTAAGATGCAAAACAGTAAAAAGACCTTTGCATGTTCAAGCGTCTTTTTGCTCTTTTTTATGCATATATTTAGACATATATGTGAACATATAGATTCATGCAAAATGAATTATTTATTATTTAATTGGATAAAAAATCAGACTCAGTTATATTAAAAATGTATTTCTTATATATTATAAACAAATAAATAATGAAACCTTGCATTCCAGACGTCACCCTCAGTGGACGTACCGAATACCTCGCTATCTCATTTTGATGGGTACTTTTCAGACTAATTAATTAAATAACGGTACCTAACACACCGAGGGAGCTAAGGATGAAACTTAATTATTCTTGCAGACCATGAACCATTCCTTGCCCAAGATTTTGACCACACTGCAGTCTTCAGGAATATCTCCTGACGAAGGCACAGGCTGAAGGTTGAACAGACCGTAGGTTGCAGTTCCCGAGCCATCGGGAACAACAACCTGACTGTAAACTGAAGGGGCGCCGACAGCCGAGTTGTAAACAATGGGGAGGGGAGCCACGGCTGGAGGAGCCACAGGGACAGTCC